TAATAAGTGCAACCAGTTATTTAAGTGCGTGAAAATCGCAGCACGCGACCTCAAATGAGAAAACGAAATGTAAAAAATTTGAAAGACCAAAATAGTATCCAATTTTTACCACCTGACAACCATCACAGATGAGAACAAACTTTCTGTGAGGAAGTTCTGTTTCTGAGAATAGTACGGCATTCCTATCTCCCTATAGCACCCAGCTCGTACCCTAAGGATCTTTCGTATGTCAAGAACCTACATAAAAATAATAGTACTATCGAGTTTCACGTGAAAAATCTTTTACTATATTTATACTATATACGTTCTTCAGTTGGCCACAGGAGGAAATATACTGTTATGGGGATCTGTTACACTCCGCCCAGGTGGCAGAATTATATAACGACTCAAAGCACTATGTAGATATGAATATAAACGAAGAGCCAGGTAAGAATAAAAACATACTTATACTACATGTAAACCACCGTGAGTATTCGTGTGCAGACTTTAAATCTCACGTAACCCGAAACAGATATCATAACTTTCACGTAACTTGTAACCCAACATTGTAAATCTCACGTTTTCGATAAATACGAGTGTGGTAAGAACAGAATACACAAATGGCCAGAACACTAAGTCACATGACCAGCAGTAGAATAAGGTTATTTATATTACACAGTGTTGATATATGTTGCGGAGACAGCAATGGTTATGGTCACATATTTATTAATTACACAGTGTGACACCCATATCTGTTGCTCAAAAAGCAGTGGTTATAAAACTTATTCATTACACTCAGTGCCAATGATACATGTTGCTATACGTGACACCGAATATCTGTTGACAGCAGTAGTTAGTCAATCTTCTTCTTTATAAACAGATGTTGTATTGGATGCTTATGAACAGCTTGATGATCCAACGGATGAAGAAACAATGGCAGGTTTCATTGACTACTACTATGAAGGCCCCGGAGAGGAATTTGAAGACTGGATTCCAGATGATTGGACGAAGGAGTAAGTACATGTCCACTTAAAGTGAGAGGGTCGTCAGCTGCGCACGCGCGGGAATTGAGTCCTAAGCGATGATAACAACACACGCTAAAAACAATGACACGCTATGGCCATCTGACGCATGCGCAGGTTTGTCAGTTTGTCAATAGGTCATCACAAACGTGGTTGTTGTGGTTGTTGTTGTTGCTGTTGACATCAATATAACCCACCAAATACATCATTAATAATATAAACGTAACCAAGCAATTTAACCAATAATATTTCAATGCAAGTTATATTTGTGACAATTATAACAAAATTGTTAGGTTCAATTGATGTTCAATAATGACGTCATCGGTGGATTAAGTTGTTCTATATCAAATAGTAAATAGTGGGTTACATTGATTTAACAGTTACCATGTTATTGCTTGGTTGTATTGATCAATATAAATGTGAAGTAATTGGTGGGCACATTAACGTAAATTATGACGTAATTGATGGGCAATAATGACGTCAATTATGAAGTAAATGGTGGAAAACATCGTTATCAATAATGACATTATTAATGATTGCATTTTAAAACAGAATCGCATCACACGAAAATGACAAGAAAGCAATCTACGTTTATTTTTTAAATGATATAGATCACGTGACCAATGACGTGAAACTTCACGACATGCAAATAAAACACTATGGTGTTTTCATAGTCCTGTCACAATCATCACAGTCCTGCTTTTATAGATGACATAAAGTCAACTCATATCTGTGTC